AAGACTTTGCTATGGACTGTCTTTGATCTAACTCTGCTTTCCAGCTAGTGAAATTCTCCTTAGGTCACCAGATCCGTCGGATTAACTTCTGCAAGTGCCTAGTGTTATGGTCTTTTTATAGCTCCCTAGACCTCTAGACATAGTGTAGTGTCATGAAGACAAAGACAGTTATTACTTTCATTTTCTAGTAAAAAGTGGCAGATGAAACAGTTGTGACTAATAGTCAAAATATTAATCTTCCTTGCCTCAGGCTTTTAGGTTTTGAAACTCAGACCAAGTGGAAAACTAGATCCTTTTTTTTTTTTTTTTTTTTTAAATGTTGGCCTCAGCTATTAGACACTAGACTGGTAATATTTTACTTTTCTTGTTGGAATTGGAAAATAATTAAAGACTGTATAGTTTCATAGAAGGCAAGCCTTCTGAGGACAGGGTTTTTGTCACAGCAGCTTTGCCCTGTCAGTCTGTCTGTGTCATGCAGGAGTAGGCTGGTTGGCAATTACAAACTGCTGAAGACCATTCGGAACAGCTCTTCATGTTGCCAGAAATAACTCACTGCATGATGGGGAGGGCGGATACATTTCTATCTCATTCCTTTTAAATCATTCAACCTGTTACTTTTAAAAAATACCTGAAAATATGACACTAAGTATGTCTTTCTTATGCATGTAGAGACATTAAAGAACATGGAATTTCTGCTACATGGGGCTGTCATAAGTGAACATTCCAGAGGAAGCTGAATGAATGCCTATGTCTTCTCCTCAGACTCATCCCTTCACCACGTTTTTGACAAATAGCTCACTATTTTCTGAAGAGTACCAGTGATGAAGTGTTCATCTCCTGGCATGGCTGGTTACGTCACTGTGGGATTGCCCTAAACATTACCCATCCCCTTTAACCCCCTTTACTTAGAACCAAAATCTCTCTCTCCATCTCTAATTTCTGGTTGTTTAGCTTCCTCCTTCCTTGGAATCAACAAAGAAGTTTACACCCTTTTGACCCTGAGACCAGACTTTAAGAGCAGCTATGATATTTCTTCTTAGACTTCTCCAAGCTAAGGCTCATTTGGTGAATAATGAACTAGAATTTAAACCCTGTCTCCCCATCTGCTAGATTCCAATCGAGTACGTTCTTGCTGCAACAGGAGCTATTTATCCAGCCACTACCCCATCCAACAACAATTTGTTGCTTGTATCAGGCACTAGGAATACAAATGAGAATTGGATTTCCTCTCTTTAAGTAGCTCAGTCTTGTGGAACAGAATAGACACAATTACAAATAATATTAAAACAGTATGGTAGCTGATACTGAGTCCCACCTTCTCAACTTATGAACTGTCCAAATTTTTGAGAGTGGGAGAGCACATGCAAATTCTGTAGAGCAGCCCTTGGCACATAAAAAGTACTCAATAAATAATAGCTTTAATTCTGTATGCACAAGATGCTGTGGGGTCAGAGAGGAGAGACACCCAGTCCTAGCTGGAGACAGGACAGGAAATGGAGGAAAGCAGGGGGTATAGGAAACCTAGGAAATACTTTTTTAGGGGCAGCTACATCAAGGTTAAGTCATGAAGTAATATTGGGAATGGGTAAGATGAAGGAGATAAAGGGGGTAAAGAAGAGAAACATTCTAAGCAGAGGAACCAAAATGAGCAAGGGTAGGGAGATGAGAATTTGCACTGAATCTGCAAAAAATATCAGGAGTAGAGGTGGATAAATAGAAACCTGGGCAAGGCCTAGATTGTGTAAAGTGTTCTACTTCATTATAGGATTTTACTTTTTAAAAGATCTTAGTTATTTGAGAGAGCACACGTGTGTGCAAGCACGAGTTGGGAGGAGGGGTAGAGGGAGAAGCAGACTCCCCACTGAGCGGGGAGCCCTATGTGGGGGCTTTATCCCAGGATCATGACCTGAGCCAAAAGCAGACACTTAACTGACTGAGCCACCCAGGCGCCCCATATATTGTAGGGTTTTAAATCATTCCTTTACTTGGGATGTGGTTGTGAGGGTAGAGGTCATTGAACAGTTTTAGGGAATTGGTCAGATTTCTTCTGGATGACTTTTATTTTAATTTTTTTGTTTATTGCTGAAGTATAGGTGACACACAGTGTTATGTTAGTTTCAGGTGTACGATATAGTGATTCAACAATTCTATACATTACTCAGTGTTCATCATGGTAACTGTAGTTACTGTCACCACACGATGTTATATTATTGACTATATTCCCTATGCTGTACCCTATATCCCCAAGTCTTATTTATTTTGTAACTGGAAGATTGTACCTTTTAACGCCCTTCACCTATTTCACCTGTCGCCCCACCCACCTTTCCCCTGGTCACCATCAGTTTGTTCTCTGAGTTTAACAGTCTTTTTGTTTCTGTTCATTTGTTCATTTGGATTTTTAATTCCACGTATAAGTAAAATCATATGGTATTTGTCTTTCTCTGTATTATTTCACTTGGCATAATACCATCTAGGTCCAACATGTTGTCACAAATGGCAAGATTTCATTCCTTTTATGGCCGAGTAATAGTCCACTGTGTGTATACACACACACACACACACACCCCCACACACAACTCCTTTATCCATTCTTCTTAAGTTATGAGAAGGAGCATGGACCTGTGTAAGACTGGTGGTGGGGTTAGGTTAAGAGGCTTTTATGGTAGCCCCGAGAAGAACAATGAAGGCATTTGTACCAGCATAAAGCAGGAATGGAGAGGATAGGCAGATTTCAGAAGCATTTAGGAGGTAAACAAACAGGATGTTGGGATAAGGAGAGGAAGTCAATTTGGTATCAGATCATGGTACCACCAACAGGAGAATAAATAAGGGAGGTAGCATGTCTAGAGAAGGCTGTGATGAGTTCTATTTGAAAATATTGATCTGTATGGAAGTTTAAGATACGGGTCTGAAGATACAAGGCACTGGACGAGGGATGTGGTTTGGCCAGTCATGAGCTTGCAAGAGCCTGCTCTGGAAGAGTGAGGGTGCTGGGGAACGTGGGTAGAGAGAACCCCGCACATGTCTAACTGGTCTTAAATCTTACTAGGCCTAATTGTCCTTTACATTTTTTTTTTGTAAAGATTTTATTTATTTATTTGAGAGAGAGAATGAGAGAGAGAGAGCATGAGAGGGGGGAGGGTCAGAGGGAGAAGCAGACTCCCGACTGAGTGGGGAGCCCGATGTGGGACTCGATCCTGGGACTCTAGGATCATGACCTGAGCCGAAGGCAGTCGCTTAACCGACTGAGCCACCCAGGTGCCCCTTGTCCTTTACATTTGATGGAAAGAATAGGTGCTAACAGTGCAGCCCTCCTGTTATTCTCCTGCTTAGACAAGCTAATAACCTGGAGGGAAAAGAAAACCATGTTTTAATAAGAGAAAGAAAATATTTTATTTTATTTTTTTTTTAAAGATTTTATTTATTCATTTGACAGAGAGAGAGAGATAGCGAGAGAGGGAACACAAGCAGGGGGAATGGGAGAGGGAGAAGCAGGCTTCCCCGCAGAGCAGAGAGCCCGATGCGGGGCTCGATCCCAGGACCCTGGGACCATGACCTGAGCCGAAGGCAGAGGCTTAACGATGGAGCCACCCAGGCGCCCCATGAAAATATTTCAAAGAGTGCAATTTCAAAGTCTCCTTGAGGAATTAATTGCAACCTTGCCTTAAGAATTGTAATGAGAAGTGTTTTCCTGATTCATTTATCTGTCCTAAGTTTTGTCTTTCAAATATGTGCTTTTTAATTTTGAATTTTTTTGCCAGTATCACCATAATGGCAGGAATTTCTTCAGAAATTTTCTTAGAAGTACTTCTCAATTAATTCTTGTGGGCTCTGTAGCCTGCTAAGGCATTGATGATGGCATGGACATAGAAAGAAAATAAGCTGTTGAGTCAGATCAGGATTTCATTTATGGGTCTGCTACTTATTACCTGTGGACCCTCTGAGCCTTGATTTCCTCACCTATAGAATGGGGTAATGTCCGCTTTTACTAACTTATTCTAAAGATTAAGTTAAGAGGTTAAAATTATCTGCCATGTAATAGATGCTCTGTAATTATTGATTTCTATACAAACATTAGCACCACAGTCCCTTGTCATTTTTCATAAATGTGGACTTCAATTAGGGACAAACTTGCATTAGAAGTCAGTTGATAGGGGAGCCTGGATGGCTCAGTCGTTAAGCTTCTGCCCTCGGCTCAGGTCATGATCCCAGGGTCCTGGGATCGAGCCCTGCATTGGGCTCCCTGCTCCGCAGGAAGCCTGCTGCTCCCTCTCCCACTCCCCCTGCTTGTGTTCCCTCTCTCGCTGTGTCTCTCTCTGTCAAATAAATAAATAAAATCTTAAAAAAAAAGGGGGGGGGGCGCCTGGGTGGCTCAGTTGGTTAAGCAACTGCCTTCAGCTCAGGTCATGATCCTGGAGTCCCGGGATCGAGTCCCACATCGGGCTCCCTGCTCAGCGGGGAGTCTGCTTCTCCCTCTGATCCTCCCCCTCTCATGCTCTCTGTCTCCCATTCTCTCTAAGATAAATAAATAAAAAAAAAAATCTTTAAAAAAAAAAAAAGAAGTCAGTTGATAATAACAAGGATGATGATGATAGGAAATACTGACATATTGTTTTACTGTCTGCCAGGCACTATTAGAACACTTTGTATCTATTAACTGATTTGATCCTCATGACAGCCCTGAGAGGTAGACACCAGGGTTGTGCCCATTCTACAGATGAGACTGAGGCTCAGCGTTTACAGGACCTTCCTAAATTTGCAGTTTGGCGGTGACCAAACTTGGATTGTAGATTCTTAAGAACTTTTTACAGTCCCCCACAAAGTGAAGCTTTGATCATAGGCCTCGTATGTCAGTATTTGGATGTCTCCAAAATATGTATAGAATGTATATGAATTAGCATGGCTAATGGATTTTTAACATTAGCTAATATTTTTTTTTAATTGTTTTAATGCTCCATTAACACGGTGACACTCTAAACAGGGTCTTTCTCTGATTTCAGCCTGTGAAGTTGAGGCGGGGAAAGTATACCAGGTATCCTCAAAAGAGCACATCCAGCCTTTCAAAGAAAACATGGAACAATTTATTATTCAAGGTAAATTCTAAAGAGACTTGTTGCATTTCCCATCTTTTGCAGCAGAAAGGTAGGTAGAAGACATTTTTTAAAATATGCATTGGTTTAAAGGGGATTATTTTGGTATTACAGAAAAATCAATAATGTTTAATCATGAGTCACACAGCTGTGAGAGACTAGCAATTTGGTAAATATTCTATTGATAATTCTTGTTATTACTGTTTTTTAATGACAGTAAATGCACTAGGTTAAAATAGCACCTATTTATAAAGATATTAAAATTTTATGCTTTTTGTGAATGAAAATTTGATATTCTTCTAAGTTTTAACTATGCTTATGACTTCAGTTCAACTGGGTATTTATTTAGTTTGTCAAAACACTGGGCCAAAAAATGACATATATTGATATTTTCCAGATCTTCAAAATATTACATTCTATTTTTTGTAGGATGTATGAATACCTCTAGATATTTAATACCTTTTTTCCAGAAAACTTAAAAACTTAATAAATATTATCTTATTGACTCCTCCCATGACATAAGCAGGGATGAAAAATTTCAGAAAATATTAAACCAAAAAAAATTTGAAGGAGAAATATCTATTAAAAACATTTTGCTATTTTAAATAATTGAAACTTACAATTATATCAAAGCACTTGCTACTCAAAACATTTTTGTTTTGGAATGTTACATCTCCTCTGAAGATCAGATTTGTGTCATGCCATGCTCTGAGAAAGTTCTTGCTGTCAGGAATTCTCCTAGAGGCTGACATGGCTTGAGACTGAGGCCAAGTAGCACTCTGAAGACTGGCTCCATCCTCTGTTTATTAGGCTACAGTTTTTATAGATGGTTCAAGTGTCATTAATGATGATTTACAATGAATGAGTCATAGTGGAATTTGATTAAATGTTAAACATAGCTTTTTTTTCAGATGGGAAAATACTATTTAATCACTTAAGAGAATCATGAAGATTGAAACAGAACTTTGGTCAGATTCATAAATCAAAGTGATTGTCATTTCTAAATTCTCAGGTCCACATGACTTCGAGTGGAAAATCTACTTAGTAATTCCTAAATAGTCCTTGGGATAAAATCAGAGTCTTGTAGTTGGTTACATATTAGAGGACGCTGTAAGCTCATTACATTCTTAATGATGAATAAAAATGAGTCTTCCTTTCTTCATTCAGTGGGGCTTTAGGATCAAGAAAATGCAATTTTAGAGAACTATATAGGTAAAGGATGAGATATTCTTTTTGCTTATGGGATAAAGGAGTCCTTAATTCATTAACTCAGTAAAGAAAGAATAAGTCTTTCTTCACGGCTCGTCTTCTAGCATTTTGGTTACCTTTTTATTTCATCTCTGCTCCTATTCAGTCTGTTCTGTGATTACATGTTCACTGCAAAAAAAAATTGAATACCTCCTATCTGTTCAGACATTCTTCTGGGTACTGAGTTATAGCAGTGAATAAGAAAATGTACATTATCCAGAAGACAGACAGTGACAATAGCAAATTCTTTGGAACATCTTATATAGATCAAATATGTCAAAATGTGGAAGAAAAGGGTCCAGCTTTAAACATGAGTGCTTATGAGCCTATATTTAGTGACATATAGTAAAAACAATGGATTTCAAAATGTTTTTCTTAAGATAAAGATTTATGAATGTAGCCAATTTTTTTTTTTTTGGTCCCACAATCCTTCTAGTTATCAGGACTAAATTCTGCAATTAAATTTATACTCTGAAAAATGCATTCCACCTTAGCACAAATAATATATGCCAAATCTTTGCTTATAATTAGGCTTTCCTCAATAATAAAATGGTATTCTTACATTAGCCTCTGTGCTCAGATTACCTTACATAGGTATGTTTTTGTATATCCCATCAAAGTCTTCTTTTAATCCCATCAAACTTTTTTTTTTTGAAATGTGCCACATTTCAAAATCTAAAATCTCTCTCCAGCAATTCAAGAGACTATGCCCAATACTGGACAAACATTTTTATTGCATTAGCTCTCACAACATAATAGAAACATCTCTTATCCTCATAATTCAACTATTGTGTGGCCTATGGAACACACACTAAAAGTCTGGATTTTATCGAGCCCTACGATCCACTGATTCACCCATTTTGTTATTCCCTGTCTTGCCAGTTTTTCTCAAGCCAAGATTTTGTGGTCTCTGCTTAAACATCTCTTCCTTGGAAATGTCCTCACCCCTGCTCTAAAAGAGGCAGATTTAGAGAATTGAGTCCTCCCTCTGCAAGGCATTCATTTTTTGTAACGGTGCCAGCTATGTACCATCTTTGGGAGAATTGAAGTGCTCAATTAATAATATTAACACTAATAAATAATGTTCTTGAATAATGTTATGAACTCCACCCAGCATTATATTCTTTATAACACTTACTGCTTTCTGCAGTTGTATTATTTATTTGCCCCTCAACAATGTAAGGCTCCATTAAGAAAGCAGCCTTGTTTGGTTCCTGGCTATCCCTATACCTAGAACAGTGCCTAGCATGTTGTACACACTGTCTTGCTCACCTGACAAAACCCAACAACCCTCATTAAGCCCATCTCTTTGCTTCCTCCATATTTGTGTCAGAGTAGCTCAACTGTTTTTTGAAGGTGGGAGGGTCCTTAACGCCTTAACTGGTATCCCTTTGAAGTCCTGACCACAGACCTGCTGTTAGAACTCATTTCTACTCAGCACCTCTATAAGATTGTCCTTGCAAATTCCATTTTCTCAGTTTCTGAGATTTTTGTTCCTCTGTTCTCCTCTCAAACCTCCACAGTCTTTCTCTTATGCTTCCTCCTTACTCTGATGATAACCCCACTTTATCCTGGGATGAGAAAGCAGATGCTGTTATACAGAAGCTCCCACACCTCAGCATCATGGCTGAGGAACTTGGGCTTCATCCTGAATCCTTGGGGAGCAGATGTTTAAAGACTTAAGAAAGTTTACACTGGCAGCAGGTGGGAAGGACTCAATGGAAACAGATCAGACTTGGAGGCAGGAGGCTACTTGTAAAATTGTTATGGCAGATTGTTAGAGAAATGAGGAGGTCTTGTTCTAAGGACAGAGGGATAGTGCTGAAGAGAGGACATATTTAAGGGGTAACAGTAACATAGAAGAGAAATTACTTGGTGACCAAATAAACATAGAGGTGATGCATAGGTGTCCAGATTTCAGGTTTGTGTGGCTGGGGAGTGGTGGTGTTAATCACTAGGATAGAGAATATAAATATGGGAAAAGATTTGAATGGGTAAGTGGATAAGTGGATAGCATGACCATCGAGGATTGGGCATCGTAAGCAAGGTGATTATTGAGGGGATGTGATCACCTAGAATGATAACAAAAATAGACTCAGGATAGAATTCTTGAGGAGGATACATTTATAGGATGAGCAGAGGAAGCCACAACAGATGTTAGTGGTGAGTTAGGTTGAAAGAAAACCAAGAGAGGCTGCTGTGATGGAAGCCAGCATTAGAGTTTCAGAAAGGAGGGAGTGATCATAGTAGTTACTGGATGAACATTTTTCTTGGATTGGCACAGACAGAAACCAGTTTTCTGAGCCTTTAACATTCAAGAGAAGTGAGGAAATAGAAGGGCACAACTCTGCAACAATTTTAAAAGTTATTGCAGGCTACTGTAATGTGCATAAATGTTAGACAACTGTTTAATCAAAGTTACTATAATTTAGCTTATCTCTAATTTATGCCAACATATGTGATGATTTTATTTTTGGGATGTTTTATGAAGAATATTAATTAGTAATCACCAGACGCTTATCCAGCATTTATCTGCCATTTTTGTTAAATTTTCTTTTGTGCCTCTTCTTTTTTAAGTAACAGAAAACAAGAGGGAAGAAGAAAAAGAAATAAATGAGACAGCTAGAGAACATCATGCTAAGCTAATATTTCTCTCAGAACTCAGCACACTCCTTCCTTTTCATTTTTCCTCTTTCTGTTTGAATACAAGTTGTATTATGGACAAAGTGTGCATATGAAAATCATGTTTCTGAGCTAAAAGTACCTTAGATCTAGTGGATTGCCTTTTATAGGTGTCTGTGCGTGGTAAGATTCCTGGGAAAGAAACAGGAGCCTAGTTCTATGTAGTTGGCCTCCACAGCCTTTTACTCATGTGACATATTTTGATAAGTGTAAATTTTAAAACTCAGCTCAACTGTTTTTTTGGGTGAATGGCAAAATAAAAAAAAAAGCTGGTTCCCCTCCATGCTATTCAATGAAGTAAAGTCCTTACTGTGATTTTATAAATCAGAAATGGCTAATATTTTTATTAGCCTGACTCTCCATACCTCCACCTCCTCTCTTCCCAAACCTTTCTTCCTTAAAATAAGCTTAGTAAGTTGTAGCTGAACAAGAGGAATAGAACCAAGGTGAAGATGCATAAATCTGTAATCACATGCTTATCATGACGAAGGTGTTGAAACCTCAACTCTCAATATACAATCTTTAGTATTGGCAACTCTATGATTGAGAATGGAGAGATGGGGAAAGCAGTAGCATTCACTGTACCAAAGGCTGAGAAGTCTGCCAGAAGTATCTTCTATTGGAAATGGTCCCATGGTGCCCATGGTGCCCATATTCAGGTTGAGCATATTTGGTGGTGTTTTTATTTCTTTTCCTGCAAATATAATGAGAACATATTTTTAATGATAAAAAGAAGAGATGCATCTGATTTCTTGAAGTCTTTAATTGACCCTTTGAAGTCAAAAGAGAAACAATTATCTTTTAAGCACACTTTTTACTTATTATTCATGTAACATCAATAATAATAATATTAAGCCTTAATACCAATTCTGTTGTGCAGAAGAATTAACTGAAGCCATTTTATACTCAACGTGATTTTAGTTTCATAATTCTTCAGGATAGGCTTAAGCAGTCGCTGTTATCCCCATTTTCCAATAAGGAAACAAAAGCTCAGAGGGCTCAATACTTGACTAAAATCACACAAGAGATGGCAAAGTCATGTTGAAACCAAGACCTCACATAAGAAACTTAAC